GGTGGGGCGGTGTTGTGACCGGGCGGGGCTCCGAAGTGGCTCCGCCCGCCCCTGAAGGTACTGAGGAACCTTCTCTAGAGGATGATCAGACCTATTTTTAAAGGGGAAGCTCTTTCCCAAAAGGTTTATAAGCCCCAAACCCAAAAGATTTGGGATCCTTAGAGTCTGAAGGATTTGGGGGAACCTCATCCATGGGATTTGGGAACTGTAACGAGGGGTTGTACTATGGCACGAGGGATTTTGGAGCAACAGGACATCATGGATCTTGAGGATCAACAAGCCCAGGAGTGTTACTGTGTCCAATTCTGGGCTCCCCAGTTCGAGAAAGACAAGGAACTACTGGGAAGAGTCCAGCAGAGAGTTGCAAAGATGATGAAGGGGACTGGAGCATCTCTCATATGAGGAAAGGCTGAGAGACCTGGGTCTGCTTAGCCTGGAGGAAAGGACTGAGAGGGGATCTCAGTCTTAGCAGGAAGATGTGCCAGGGGAGGTTTAGGTTGGACATTAGGAAAAGGTTCTTCACCCAGAGGGTGGTAGAGCACTGGAACAGGCTCCCCAGTGAGGTAGTTATGGCACCGAGCCTGACAATATTCCAGAAGCATTTGGACAACACCCTTAGACACATGGTCTGAATTTTGGGATTGTCCTATGCTGGGGCAAGAGTTGAACTTGATGATCCTTGTGGGTCCCTTCCAACTCACAACATTCTATGATTCTATGATCTTATAAATGCTTATAACTACCCAAAGGACAACTGTTGAGAGGATGGGGCCAGACTGTTCTCAGTGGTGCCCCGTGACAGGATAAGGGGAAATGGGCACAAACTGGAACACTGAAAGTTCCATCTGAAGATGAGGAAAAACTTTACTTTGAGGGTCACAAAGCACTGGAACAGGCTGCCCAGAGAGGCTGGGGAGTCTCCTTCTCTGGGGATATTAAAAACCCATGCATGCAGTACTGTGCAGCCTGCTCTAGGTGAACCTGCTTTGGCAGGGGGGTTGGACTAGATGATCTCCAGAGGTGCCTTCCAACCGCCACCATTCTGTGATTAGGTGACCACCCCCCCCCCACGAAGAGATTTGGGGTCTTCAGCACAGGTGACTTGGATCCTCATATCTATGTGGTTTATGGGTGCCCACAACAGTGGGTAATGAACCAAGGGTCTATAAGATTTGGGTGCATCCAGCCGAGGTGACCAAGGATCTTTTTGGTGTGAGAGGTTTAGGACCTACCAGCTGAAGGAGATTAGGTACCTGAGCCAAGGAATTTGAGCACCTGTGGCTGAAGGGGTTTGTGACAGGTTTAGACACAAAGAGCCTGTCTGGATCTGGCATCATCATCCTCCACTATAACTGATTGGGGATCCCATGGCCAGAGTGGTTTAGACACTTCATGTCCAGGAGGACTAGGCACCAGGCTCTTGAAAGGGGTTTGAGGTCTTCAGCCTAGGTAGTCTGAGAGTCTTTGATCCAAGGGTCTTATGAACAACAGCCCAAAGGGATTAGGAGCCTCCAGGCCAAGGATTTCAGTACCCTGAACTACATGATCTGGAATCCTTGATGGCTAAAAGGCTCAGGCACCATCTGCCAAGTAATTTAGGATCATCAAGCCAACGGATCTGGGAGCTACCATCTGGGAGGGTGAAACCCTGGGCCCATGGGATTTAGGCACAGCAAGCCCAAGGGGACTGGGCACCCACAGCCCTTGAGATTTCAGAGCTCCTGGTCCATGTAGTTGAGGGAACCTGACATCCAAGGAGTTTAGATGTTTCTAGCCAAGGGGGATTGGGCACCTCCTGCCTGAGGCTGTCAGACCTTGTCAGACCTTACTGAGCAGCAGGGCTGGCCCGCAGGCTCCCTGCCAAACCTGGCTGTCAGGACCGCCCAGCCCTGCCCTGCTTGGGGAGGGTGCTGGCAGGGGCCAGGCAGGCCCTGGCGCTGTGCCAGCCCCCACTGGGCACGAAGCCAGAACCCTGAGATGACAGTGGGGCCATGCCCAGCAGTCTTGCCCTGGCTGTCCCCCAGCCTGCCCATGGAGCTGTCCTCTGCCCTGCTCAGGCCGTTCCTCCCTGGGGGAGCAAAGCTGCTCTTAGTCGTGTTTGTCCTTTCTCCCCATGGGATCAACCCTTTCCCGCTTGCTGGACACCTCCAACTTCTGGAAAGAAAACGTGGAGAGACCCTGACCCCGCTCCACCTCCTCCATCCCCTCCCTGCCACCACCCAGCTGTGCAGTGGGCAGCCCCATCCCCTGGTTGGCTGGGTGGTTATCTCCAGCACCAGCCAGACCTCACACCCAGCAGACCAGCACACCTCGCCTCAGCCCCGTGGTAGGGACCTGGGGCAGCAGAGGAGGCAGCGGGAAGCCCCCTTTCCTCCTCCAGGGAAGGCTGTGGCTCTCGCAGCCGTATGTTCCCTCTTCCCCTCTGACACAGGCAGAGTCTTTGCCCGGCCCCAGCAAACACACAACCCCCCAGGAGCTGGGGAAGCATCAGGAACTGAAATCCTGTATGGCCTCAACACACACATGGAGTCACCATCACTCCCAACACACAACAAGCAGCCCAGAGTTTAAAAAAACCCAACAGACACACAATAAACTTCTGAGACATCGAAATAAAAAGCCAGACCAGTAACTCTTAAAAATGGGAACTCTCTGTACCAAACATGTTCCTTTTTTCTTTCATTAACTGCCTTGTTTTAGCTATTTCCAGGCAGGAATAGATAATTCTTTATAAAACGCAATAGAAAGGTGTAAAAATAAAGGCAAAGGCTATTTACAGAAATCACTGAGGAGAGTATTGAAAAGCCTCTAAGGCTTCTCACTTCTTCTTGGGTGATTTCCGGGAGCTGGACTTGGCTTTGGGTTTCGACCGCTTGGCCTTCTTGGGCTTCAGCGACTTGGCCTTAACAGTCTTTGGCTTCTTGGCTTTCTTCGGGCTGGCTCTCGACTTCTTCCTGGCTTTCCTGGCAGTAGATTTGGGCTTCTTCGCTGGTGACTTGGCCTTACGGGACCTAGCTGCTTTCCGAGGCGATGTGGACTTCCTGGCCACCTTCTTCCTTTTCTTGGCTGAGAACTTCTTTGCCTTGTCGGCCTTGGCCAAGCGGAAAGAGCCGGAAGCGCCGACCCCTTTGGTCTGCTTGAGGACGCCGGTGGCGAGCAGGCGCCGGATGGAGAGCTTGACCTGGGTGTCGGCGTGCTG